CTGAGTTGTTCATCATGTGGAACAGCAGGTTTTTCAGAAGCAGCTTTCACAACTTCTCCACAAACCGCAATTGCAGAGGCTGTTCAAGGGCAACAGGTTTGTAAGTACACATAATGTTAAAAGTACCGACTGGAACATCCAGGGCAGGGTATCATAGAGTAACCACATACTCTGTAATGGAATAGCTGGTGTTGAACCACTCAAATAGTAATACAAACAGTGAAAAAGAAATATTTAAGCCTTCTAAGAAGCCATACTCTAATTTTGATACTTCTAACTTATAAACACCAAAGCAAGTTAGACAACAAAGAGTCACTAAACAGAGAACCAAAACTTGGGTCGTAAATAATAACTAATGCCAATTATATATGCATGGAATGGATTAGGCAGCAATTTCTTATATTCTGCAGTGCTCTGATGAAAGGCTCAAATTCAGCACCTAGTCAATTCTGCACTTGCATGCAAGAGCAAAGGACGCATGGAGGACTGGGTTGTTCAATTCCACGAGAAGACTGGTCTCAGCCCATCTCTGCCGTTTTACAAATTGTTTTGCATCCTCTTTTTAAACCAAGATTAACTCAATGACTAATGACTTCATTGAGCTCTAATCTAACCTTGCTGGGCCTGGGCTCAAAAGGAAAAGCAGTTGATTTTTAAGGTGTAATTAATATTAGCCCAAAAGGAAAAGCCATCAGGAAGAAAAAACGAGAAAGCAAACAAACAAACTCAAAACCTCAAAAGAAAACGAATGTCTACATGTTAGTTGTTACTGGCTAAGTATCCAGAATATTCAAGTACAAACTGCATACAGCTAGTACGTGAAAACAAAGAGCAAACAGATTTGGTCACACACCGCAAAAAAGAATCAACAACAAGACCCCAAAAAAAACAAAGTCTAGTATATTTCAAGTTTTCACATATTTGAAGCAGAGTGGTCCACTAGTAGCTGGATGATGAAACTGAAGGATATGAGTCAATGCATGTCAGAAGACTAACCAACAAATTCTCGACACTTGTCGCGGTCCGGGAAGCTATCAAACTCAAAAATATAATTCCTGCCCTGAAAACGATAGAAAATGGACCATATTTAGTTGCAGTACTCAGATCAGTTAGTAGTTTGTAGACTTCACCAGTACTGGGATGAGTCTACTATTTCTAGACTTCACCAGAGGCAGAGAAAACAGTCATACAAGAAAGTGCTCACAAATCAAATTCTTTTGGTAATCATAAATCT